TATTTTGAAGTTTTTGAAAAAACATTATTTTCAAATTTTTTGCCCTTTTTATTTGACCTTTCTTTCCTTTCGCACATTCCATATAAAAAGTGCAAAATGATAAATAAAAGCGACTAAATCGGAGAGAAGAAGCTCAAATGATGACCAAACAAAATGCCAATTTTCCACAAGATTCATTATCTGAAAGAAAGTTTTTATAAAAAACCAAATTTCAAGCAGGAAGTGCCAAGAAAACTTTCTTATCAAGTGCCTTGCTTTTTCGGAGAATTCGATATCACCCAATTTCACCTTGAAAATCTCAAATCGCCGATAAAGTTCTAATCGAATAAGCGAAAAGAAAAAGTCAAAGATCGTAAAAATTTTTGAAAAAGAAATAAAAACCCTTTTTTGGATTGATTTTGGAGCAATTTTGGATTTTGCATCAAACGTTTGTCAAAATTGAGCTCAATCAAACGCATTTCAAATGGTTAAAAGTCGATTTTTAGATCTGGCATCTGTGCTTTTCAATAATCGAAAGTAGTTCTATTTCTATAGTTCTATTCGGTTGGTGAATTGAAAACTGCCGACTATTGTCATATGTGACAGTTTGAGCACTTTCTTCAAAAGAAACCCATTTTGGTGTCAATGGAAAAGTTGTAGAGAATCAAAAATCAAGCTTATATCCAAATTTTCAGAACGATTCAAAAACTGGTTTTCAAGAAATGCCAAATTTACGAATTTTCACAAAACGTGCATTTTAAGCGAAACTACTAAGTGTATCTTTTTGGAAATTTGGCTATAAGCCTAATTTTTGATTCTCTACAACTTTTCTATTGACACCAAAAAGGGTTTCTTTTGAAGAAAGTGCTCAAACTGGGTCCAAACTGGAAATCTCCAGTCCTCCATTTTTGAGTCTCACACTTGTCTCACACACAAACCAAAATCCTACTCCGAAAGAGGAATCCGCAAATTGCCTTTAAAATGGCCAGAAGTCGTCAATAATAATGGAAATTATTTGGAATGAATTGATCGTTTGTTGAATAAATTTTAGTTCAAAGTCCCGCAGTTTTCACCAACCCAATAAAAGAGGAAATCTGTTAGAGAATTTACTTTTTATCTAAATAATAACTAATAACATGTTGCAAAACTGACTAGCTCTAAAATAAACAGCCTTAGTTGGGAACTTTTGGTGCATCCCCCATACAGTCCGGACCTCGCCCCTTCTGATTACGATTTATTCCGGACCATGAGTAATGAGCTTTCGGGAGAACACTTCGATCCGGAAGAAGCAGTCAAAAATTGGCTTCAAAAGTTTTTCGATTCAAAACGTTCAAATCCAGGAAACTGGTCTAGGATCCATTCTTAATCCAGGAAACAATTTTGAATCAATTTTGAACAAATTTTCAGAACTATTCAAAAACTGACTTTCAAGAAATGCGAAATTTACGAATTTTCACAAAACTTGAATTTCACAAAACATTTTAAGCGAAACTACTAAGTGTATCTTTTTGGAAATTTGGCTATAAGCCTAACTTTTGATTCTCTACAACTTTTCTATTGACGCCAAAATGGGTTTCTTTTGAAGAAAGTGCTCAAACTGGGACATCTCCAGTCCTCCATTTTTGAGTCTCACACTTGTCTCACACACAAACCAAAACCCTACCACGAAAGAGGAATCCGCAAATTGCCTGTAAAATGGGCAGAAGTCGTCAATAATAATGGAAATTATTTGGAATAAATTTATGGTTTTATGCTGAATAAATTTTAGTTCAAAGTCCCGCAGTTTTCAATTCACCAACCCAATATTTCTATTTTAATGGAAGATCTACTTTAATTGATTAATCTAAACATAAAGATATGATTTTTCCTTTGGAATTTCCGTACACAGATCCTCGTTGAATGATTCATCTGTACAAAGCGCACACTTTGCTGAACTCCTACTTCTGCTTACTCATGAAAACATCGTTCATAACTCACAATCACATTTGACAAATAAATACAAAGATTACAAGAGACTCATGCTTGCTCACCGTCATAACTTACATGAGTCACTTTTCCCTTTCCCTATAAGCAATAGCTCATAATTTACTTGAGCTTAAGGGCCTTCTTGACCTTCTTAAGCTTAAGCTTAAGCTCTTCTTGGCTAAACCTAGACAACTTTGAAAGCTACTAGACAACTTTGAAAGCTATCTTGCCTCTATTTATATCTGATTTCACGAGAACTAGTCAAAACAGTGCCGTTTATAAAAAGCGCCAAAATAGCCCCTCTGCTGCTAAGTTTCTATGTGTTTCTTGTTCTTATTGAATGCAGAATAAAATTATCTACATTTTGTATACTTTGAGATCACTTAAAACAGAATTGGTGTCGAGAAAAGGTTCGTTAATCTCTTTTTGAGCCCTCTTTCGTTTTTTTTTGCCATTTTCTCATCCCAGATTTGTTCTAAACGGCTTCAAAATTCAGCAAATAGCTAATCTTTTTCTAAATCCAATGAAAATAAGAAACACAAATAAACTTAACCGCAAGCGCATTATTTTAGTCGGCGCTGTTTGTACACGGCGCTGTTTTGATCAGTTCCCAAAGAAACGACGACGCAGCGCTCCCAGCGACTACCTCCAAATGGCGGCAACGTCAATTGTAATGCGACTAGTCAAAACAGCGCCGTGTACAAACAGCGCCACGGCAAAAAAAGCCTTTCTGCTGTTAAGTTTCTATGTGTTTCTTGTTCTTATTGGATGCAGAATAAAATTATCTACATTTTGCATGCTTTGGGATCATTTAAAACAGAATTGGTGTCGAGAAAAGGTTCGTTAATCTCTTTTTGAGCCCTCTTTCGCTTTTTGGGATTTTCTCATCCCAGATTTCTTCTAAACGACTCCAAAAAATTCAGCAAATAGATAATCTTTTTCTAAATCTAATGAAAATAAGAAACATAAATAAACTTAACCGCAAGCGCATTATTTTAGCTGACGCTATTTTGACCAGCTCCCGATTTCTCTATTTTTATAACTTTTGCTTTTAAAGTAGCAAGATTACGATCAATTTCAAAAGTTTAGAAAAAGCTGATTCTAGCCTTTATCAGCCTTAAATTTGCAAAGCCTTTAGCCTTTTTTCCTCATGGTTAATGTCCTTGATTTTTGGTTTGAACTTTTCACATCTCTTCATCTAAAAGGAGTAATTTACAGAGCCAAAAGAATGTGCTTTATTAAAGAATTTGTTCAATTTGTTCAATTTGTTTAATTTGTTTAATTTGTTCAATTTGTTCGATTTGTTCAAATCATCGACAAAACTCTAATAGGGTTAACGAAACGGAAAAGAAGAAAACGCCCAATTGATAAAAATCTTTAGGCAAAGAAAATTTCGTTCAATTATTGGGTTGAAATGTTTAGTGAACCGTGTGAAAATGTAAATTTGAAAACATTTTTGGATCTCTCTACAGTTTACTTGCTTGCTTGTTACTTGCTTGTACTTGCTTAAAGCAAAGTTTTGGCTCACTGTGTCAAACTTTATTTTCTTCTTAAAGTTAACTTAACGAGCTTAAGAAAAAATTCGAAATCATATGTTCATTTTGGTTTTTTAGAAGTTTCCGAACCTATCTAAATGTTTAGATCAATTAAAAACGAGTTCCGAATGGTAGACTCAACAAAATGAATAGCTCAAATCGAATCGCCGATCCTGAAAACCCCCGGGTACAAAGTTTAAGCTGAATATCTTTTTATACAATCTATAAAGCAAAGAGAAATCCCTAGAACATTGGCGAGGTGTTTTTTCTGCAGCCCCGTAATCGCTCTCCATCTGGCACACGTCCCCGATGCATAGGCGTTCCCTTTTCTGATCGCTAATGTGTTCGTTACTATGCCGAAACTCCTGGCCCCAAACTTGTTAGTATTTTTTCAATTGTTACACCCTGTAAACTCGAATCTCCTCTTGAGACCTGACTAAAGGAAAGGCAAGCACTTGGCGTGACGTTTTGGAACGAGACCCATTTTATAGAATCGACCAGGCGGAGTTCGAATCTGCTTTTAGTTTTTTCTCTTTAGAAAACAGTTATAGCTTTTAGCAAGGTATATTAGAAAAGTTCTATTGTCTTTCCCTAGTGAGAGTCCTCGCCAATGATTTCTTCTTTATAACATCTCAGCTTTTGAAAATACTGTACCCCTGGCCCTCGCTTTCATCAAATATACCGTATTTTCTCTAATAGTAGTGCACCCAGGCAAGCCGAGTTGGTGACGACTTTACGGTTTCCAAGCTCTTGCAGAAGCTCAACACTCAAATCCCCCACAAAATCTCATCGTCAGCTACATTTTCCGACCCCACATCGATAGGTTCTGATAAGCGGTTCTCGAGATTTCGAGCAATTTAGGCGACGCTCACGGTGCACTACTATTAGAGGAAATACGGTATTCACTTTTTATCTTTTGTTATCCCTGTAAATCCATCGAATCAATCCAAAAAGATGGACTGAAGAAAAACTAGAGGCAGACTGCGGTAGACGAGAAAGTGGACACGTTTAATGATAGACAGGCTCATCATTGGATCGACAGCATCAGATTCACAGTATCTACAGTATTTTCAAACATTCACACATTTTACAGCCTATTCGAACAGTAGATGAACTAAAAAGTGCCACAATTTTCGCTAAAAACAATTTGTTCAATCCTTTTATCTAAAACGGAGCTTTGAGACTAACTTCGAAGTATTTAACAATGAAAACTTTTGCCTGAAGGATCTTATTTTTGAAAATATCATCATCATTTCAGTTATTTATCATTTCTTTTCCCTTTTCATCTAAATTTTCTCAACATTTTGTGGGTAAATATTGTCGGAAAAATTTCCTTGAAATTCTCTCTCTTTTATGATGTTTTTGATCAACGAGAAAAGTATTTTTCCTTTTTTTCTAAGAATTTCTATTTTCGAAATTCGATTTAAGTTTCACTTTTTTTCAATTTCATTTCCAATTTCCTCGATTTTCTATGATTAGATTTGAAAATTTCAGTTTTAATATCGAAATTTCTGAGAAAAGATGACTCTCATCGATTCGCTTCCACAAGACGTTAAATGTGGGTTTCAAAAAGGGAAATTGTAAGCTACACTACTGGACAATGAAATATGATATTTGAAAAAAGATCGTCACTTTCGCCCGCCTGTAACTCCCTTGTCTTTACCGTATTTCGAAATATTAATATTACCATTGTGTAGCCCTTGAAAAGAGCTTTCAGAAAATGTAGAACACTAATAGTTTAAACTCGAAGACAAGGGAGTTACAGACGCGCGAAAGTGACGATCGTTTTTCAAATATCATATTTCATTGTCGAGTACTGTACATAAACTTCAGAAACTGTAAAATCTCACCTAAGAACAAAAACAAAGGCAAAAGGTGTCCTTTTTGAATCAAATCTAGCTTCTGATAGTGTTTTGAACGGTTATTGACCATTTGATACCCGGCCCGCCCATTTTCCCATTAGCAATCTAAACTTTGAGCTCAAATTTCTTGGTACTCGGCTATTCAATTTAAATATTCTTGATATTATTAGATCCGCCAGGTCTTTCTCTATCAATTGGTATAAAAGCTATTTACATTGGACAGCTAAATACCAAGAAATGTGCGCTTAAAGTTGGATTGCCAATCGGAAATGTCTGACAATCTTTTGAAAGACTCTGCATCTGATTTAGTTTTTTCAAAACACTTCAATAACTCTAGACTTGATTTAAAAAGGGCTATTTTGACTAACTAATTAGCGCTATAGTCTGTATTTGACTACAGTATGCTAAAGCAACTCATTTCATTAGAACTCATTCATTACAATTCATTCATTACAATTCATTCATTGCAATTCATTCATTGCAATTCATTCATTACAATCATTCATTTAGCCCTGATCCCCAAAGAGAATGCCGACTTTTGTCACTCGTTGTCGGCTGAAGAAGCTGAGCACTTGAAGGTATTAAATAGTAAGGCATAACACCTTATTCTAACGACAGTTGAGATGTGTCGATGTAGCTCTCGATGTAGCTCGACACATCTCAGTTGAGATGTGTCGATGCAGCTCATTAAAGAGTTTGCTTGATGAGTGAGGGTTAAGCCAGAGGTAGCCGGGTTCGAGTCCCGCCAACGCCATTTTTTGCATTCTTAACTCGATAAAAGGACTATGTTCAACTAAACTTTATCAACATATACTCTACTTTATGCTCTACTTCAGAGATGGTAAAATGAGTTATGTAAGGCATAATTTGTTTCACACCAATCAAAATTGTGCTTGTGAACGCCGTTGAAACAGGGAAATCATTTCAAAGAAATTTTTGAATTCAAATTAAAAGCCATTCTGCCATTCAGCCATTAAAAGCCAAGTCAAATTAAAAGCTAAATCCATTTTACAAATCTATTTCATTTAGCAGAACTTACAAAATATAAAATTTCAACTTTAACATCATTCTTATTTTCTTTACAAGATTAATTTCAATCTAGGATCTCTTGGGAAAGCACAAAACTTTCTGCAACATTGACGGATTGATGGAGGATTGTCAAGGAGTCTGTGCGAGTCTTCATGGAAAATTTCAGTATGTGAACGTGAATAAAATCGACTACTTGAATACAATTGAATACTTGAATACAATTTAAACCCAAAAGAGTGATTTCATACTCTTTTTACTATTTAGAAGCCTGCTAGGCGCGAACTCGGCTCGTTTATCCGGACTCTCCGACGAGGCGAAGGGTTTCGCTAAAGAGGTACGTAAAAAGAAATGATAAATGCGTCAATAAATGCGCAAAGTTCGTGTTCTAGCTGTTTTTACTAAAGTTTTTACTAAAGCTTAAAAAGCTTTTATCGAAAAATTGTATTCAAAACCAATCAAGGCTTATTTTTTCGATAAAAATTTTTGTTATCGAAGTCAGCAAAAGATCCATTATTGGATTGTCAGCCAAAGATCGTTATTATACTCGTTAACTATTTCTCATCATTCCTAGGTCAATTTAAAGTCAAAATTCTTGCTAGTGCTTTTAAAAGCGTATCAGAAACGGCTTACCGTCTGTACTAGAGTGTGTTCCTCACGAGTCAACCAAATATTAGTGAAAAGAGGTTCTAAAGAAGTGAAAAAAGGTTCTAAAGAAGTGAAAAGAGGTTCTAAAGAGGGGCATTCTATTAGTAGAGTGAGCTCTTCACGAGTAATGCGTTTTTTAAAACTCACACTTAGGAAAAATTACCGTACTTTTAGCGTATTGCACAAAAATTGACGCAAAAAATCACGAGCGACGAGTTATAAACGATTCTTTCTTGAAGATATTCAGCCGTTTAACTGATTTGGTGGCGAATTTCCTTCACAAGTAAAAGTATTCAATTTACTCGACGTGTAAAGAGGATTACTCGTAGTTACTCGAACGTCGATTAATCGATCAAAAAATGACTCATGCAAATTCTACTCGATTAATTACTTACTCACGAGGAACATACTCTAGTCTGTGCTGTATTTGAGCCTCACTCTTGGGGGTAAAGGATTCAATTACAGGATGTTTCAGTTAAAAAGTCTTCATAAAAAGTTCTCCGGAAACAATCTAGTCTCTAAGAAAGTCATACCGTATTTTCTGTAATAGTAGTGCAGTCTATAATAGTAGTGCAGGCTGGAGGGGGGTTGAAAAAAATAGTAGTGTGCACTACTATTACAGAAAATACGGTAATCCTTTTCAGTGTATGGCTTATGTATGCGAAGTTCAACAATCTCTTCTCCACGGAAATCCAGTCAATTCGGGCAAAGCGACAGCAATTCGCACCAAATTTGCCTCTTTGTCAAACACCGATCAAGAAGCGTTGAAGAAAAACAATCCCGATATTCAATTTTGAAAGATTTAGTTGAAGAAAAAGTGGAAAATTTCCTTAAAATTCACTTAAATCAAGCTTTGAGCTTGAAATTTCGTACTCCAATAAAGTTTTTAATTGCACAAAAAAGTTACACGTTGAAAAGAGAACATAAAGAAGAGTTTTTTTGCCCTTTTAGCTGAATATAATGCATTTTGAGGAGAAACAGAGAAAAGTGATTGAATCATTGAAAAGGTTTTGAAGGGAAAAGGTGAAAAGAGGCGCTGAAATGGAGAAAATCGGGGGAAAAGAACAGGTTTTTCTTTTGTTGTTTCTCTCGTTGATATCCTCTCGAGCCCTTGATTGATTTCTTTTATGGAAAAGCTTGTAAATATTGATTGAGATTGGTTGTTGAGTGGATTTTTTGAAATTCAGAATTCTAAAGCTTTGTAACCAATCTTCTGTTGCTCAATTGCTTGAGAACTTCTTGAATTGCTGACTATGTTTAAACTTTATTGAATAACTTGAGCTTTTTGCATCTGAAACTGATTTGAGCTTTTGATTTTCTGAAAATTGAAAAGCTTTAGGATTTAAATCAATCAAAGCCAACTATCAACAAGACTTGAATTTCTTTTGTTTATGTTTATACCTGAGCTTTTATTGTTGTTGTTTTATTAGGTTGATGCAAAAGTCTTTTTCATTTTTTTCGTACTTCCGTTAAAAAGTAACAAATGCACCAATTGAACAACGGTTTATTGCATTCGAAAGGCCAATTATTTTTCTGCAAAATGACATTAAAACGAGTTTAAAATGTCTTATGTCTAGATTTTTTTGAGAGCCTGAAGTCGGGTAGTCAAAAAAGGCGACGGCTCGATGATGCATTTTAGACGCTTTAGCTAAGGAAACCAATCTTGATGTTAATAAATAAAAGATAGAGCACAAAAAGTTAGATATTTTTTCAGATTTTCAGAGAAATTGATTCAGCCAATTTCTTTATAGAGGTTTTTATAGATTTTTATGAAAAACCCGTTTTCACTCTCGAATTTGCTTGAAAGTGAACCCAAATTGATTTAAAAAGATGGGAAATTGAACAATAAACACTTTTCATTTAGAGCAAACCATAGGTTAATTGATGACTTTGTTATTTTTCAAAAGAAGTACGAAAAAAATGAAAAAGACTTTTGCATCAACCTAATATTTGTTTTATATTCGATCAATATTCGATCAATTCGATCAATTCGATCAATTCAATAATTTTATATTCGATCAATTCGAGATTAAATATTCGATCAATAATATCTTTAGTTCAATAATAAATGATTAAAATGATATACAGTGCGTTTCAAATTCTTAAACGCACCCTCTAAAATAGCGGATTTTGCATTTTGACCACCGCTACAACTATTAATCTTTTTCTATTAGAAAGAGCATGTCTTAAAACCTAAATAACACGAAAAAGAAGCATACTGTAAAAAGTAAAAATTTTCAAAATAGATACTTTTTGCTAAATCAACCGTTTCAAATTCTTAAACGCACCCGCCTTTGTTGTTGTTATTTGAAATTTTTCGTTTTGTTGTGCATATTTTTTTATTAAATTTATAATTTTTGTTAATTTCCAAGTAAATAACACACGGAAAGCTACTCACGGATTTTGATAAAGGCCAGATTGATGCCCGTTTGAGGATTGGCGACTCAATAAGGAAAATCGCAAAAAATTTGTGCCGATCCGACTCTGCCGTGCACAATTATAGAAAGTCCGAGTTCGTTTCTGCACCAAAGAAGAAGCCAGGACCAAAACCAAAGCTTACACCGCGAGCTAGACACCATATTGTGAACAAAATCCACGGAAAAACGATCAATGAAGTGAAAACGGAACTGAAAATCGACGCTTCGAAGTCGACAATTTGGCGAGCCGTCACGGAAAATTCACATATCGATCGACAATTATTGAACATGCAACCGGTCGTGAAGCTTTCGCACAAGAAAGCCCGATTGGAGTTCGCCAAGGCTCATATGAATCAGGATTGGTCTATGGTTAGAAAGCCGCTTATCTTTTATTATTTTTTTTGCGTTTAGGTGATCTTTTCCGATGAGAAGAAATGGAATTGGGATGGTCCCAATGGCGTTGACTACTATCGGAGGGATCTTCGATGTGATCCGATGGTGTTTGGAACTCGAAACTTTGACGGTGGTTCTGTGATGGTTTGGGCCGCCTTTTGTGCTGATGGAACGGTCGCTCTGAAGATGGTTTCGAATCGGATGACTAGATAGATATCTTGAACAATTGCTTGTTGCCGTTTTTGCTCCGAAATCCAACCGTTCCGGACTTGTTTCAATACGACAATGCGTCAATTCATCGAGCCGGAGACACCCGAGACTGGCTGAACCGCAACAACATTGCAACTTTGGACTGGCCCGCTCAGTCTCCTGACCTCAATCCGATAGAAAATTTATGGGGAATACTTGTTCGAGCTGTCTACAAGAATCATCGTCAGTTTACGTTTCTACACTTAAAGCAGCAATTTTTTCGGCCTGGAGCGATCTCGACGTCTCTGCCCTTCAAAACCTCATCAATTCAATGCCAGACCGCATTTTTCAAGTAATTAATCGTTCTGGTGCGTGTACAGATTATTAGTTTTGATTGGTAACCTTTGATTTTATATTTGTGTCGATAAATAACAATATTTTCATAGTGCGTTTAAGAATTTGAAACGGTTGATTTAGCAAAAAGTTTCTAGTTTGAAAATTTTTACTTTTTATAGTATGCTTATTTTTCGTGTTATTTAGGTTTTAAGACATGCTCTTTCTAATAGAAAAAGACTAATAGTTGTAGCGGTGGTCAAAATGCAAAATTTGCTGTTTTAGAGGGTGCGTTTAAGAATTTGAAACGCACTGTATTAGGCATCAATTTCATAAGTTTCATGGTATTGATTGAGATTGGTTGTTGAGTGGGTTTTTTGAAATTCAAAGAATTCTAAAGCTTTGTAACCAATCTTCTGAAATCTTTAAAATCAATTGCTTGAGAAATTCTTGAATAGCTGACTGGTTAAACTTTATTGGATAATTTGAGCTTTTTGCATATAAAACAGATTTGGGCTTTTGATTTGATTTTCTGAAAATTGAAAAACTTTAGGATTTAACTCAATCAAAGCCAGGGATCAACTTGAATTTCTTTTGTTTATACCTAAACTTTTATTGTTATTGTTTTCTTTGTTTTGTTGTTTTACTTGACTCGAGATTAAAATTCGATCAATAATATCTTTAGTTCAATAATAAATCATTAAAATGATATATTAGGCATCAATTTCATAAGTCTCATAGTATTGAAATTCAAAGTTTTTTGGTTTTTTGAAATTCAAAGAATTCTAAAGCTTGTCAATCAATCTTCTGAAATCTTTAAGTTCAATTGCTTGAGAAATTCGAATAGCTGATTTTGTTTAAACTTTATTGAATAAATTGCTTAAGCTTTTCTGGAAATTGAAAAGCTTTAGGATTTAAATCAATCAAAGCCAACTATCAACAAGACTTGAATTTCTTTTGTTTATACCTGAACTTTCATTGTTATTGTTTTATTTGTTTTATTGTTTTACTTGATTCGAGATTAAATATTCGATCAATAATATCTTTAATTCAATAATAAATCATTAAAATGATATATTAATTTCATAAGTTTCATAAGTTTCATAAATGATATATTAATTTGATCAATTTCATTAGTTGACCCTTCAAAACTCGATCAAAATTTGACTGATTCATCAAAGTTTCGATGTTTATCAAAGTCGTCACAAATCGATTTTCCTTTCACAATCAATTTGATCGTTTTCTTATCGTTTTCTTAAAGTTTATTATTATCAAAATTTTGAAAATAATATTTAGAAAGGAGTATAAATATTTCTTGAACCTAAACCTTTCCAATATTCTTTCCAATGGAGGACACATCTCAACCCTCGTCTCCACAATTCCTCGGTGTTCCTCTACTTGACTATTTTCGAAATTTAATCACTTTTGATGTCGAATTCGAAGAAGATAACAGAAATTATCGATGCGCTTTGCAGAAATTTCATATTCTGGTGAGTTAAGAAGAATTTCGAAACTGTTTTTTCTTTTTGGATAGTTGAGCGAAAAAAGAGACAACAAGTAAATTTTATCAGATCATTGGACCATTCCGTATGCTAGGAAGTGGGTGAATGAGTCAGAAATAACTTGTTAAACGACAAAAAAGCAGAGTCAAGTTTGTTGTGAACGGGAAGTTGTTGTGAACGGGAATCAAGTTGTGAACGGGGAGTTGTTGTGAACGGGGAGTTGTTGTGAACGGGAAGTTTCATTATTCATTGGATAACCCGCCAACTTCGGACCATTGCTTGTTGAGAAAAGAAAGGTTTACCTCTAAATAACCCCGTCATTTTCCGTATGCTAGAAAGTGGGTGAATGAGTCAGAAGCGGGGAAAGAGAAAGCGAAAGAGAAAGAGCACTCAATGTTGAAATCGTTTTGCTTTTTCGATAGTTGAGCGAAAAGAGTGGCAACAAGTAAATGTCTTTTTTTTGTTTTGAATCTTTTGTGTGTTCTCTTTTTGTTCATTTCTGATTTATTAGCATACTTTCTAGTATACGTGAATTAGATAAAGAATAAAGAAAAGATAAAGAAAGATTAGATAAAGAAAAGACGTATTTGTTGATTTTCCAAGTAATGGTTTGTTGTTAGTAATTTCAGAATGTAGCCAAAGTGTTCATTCTCCTCGAGGTGATCTTCATTCTTTTCTACATGATTGTCACATTTCCCTGGTGGTTTTTATGGATATTCTTTCATCTACCAGGTTAAAAAAAAAACGTTAATTTGGATTTAAATTGTTCCAGTCGTTCTCCTCACGGTTGTTGCCCTTAAAAAAGAGATCGCTTTCTGGATTTTGGCTAAAATTGTCTTCATTGTAAGTTCTTGGAAGTTATAGAAATTATTATTTTTTAGGCTTTTCAAATCGCTCTCTACATAATGTTCATTTGTATCAGTTTTATCGTTGGAATCAGTGCCAATGCGTTTTTGGGAATATTTGGAATCGGTGAGTGAGAGGAAATTAGTGCCTTTTAGGAGCCACTGAAAGTGAATCAGTAAAGTTACAACATAAAAAAGGTAAAGGAAAAATATAAAAGCTGAAGGCCGAACATTGGTTTATTTCTGCATCCCCGATCGGGAACGCGTTCCAAAATTTTCTCGAGACACTGTTGAGAGGTCTCGGGGTTAATGCTAACCTCAAACTTGGGTAATTAAACCGAAGGAGGAGCCCTTGGTCGCGCTATGTGTGAAGGCCGTGTGCCAGATGCCGCTTTTTCTTACGAGAGACACGAAGGGTACACACAGTCTTGCCGTCTGCGTCTCTACCAGCAAGAGATCTCCGAGTCTGAGAGCTGGATTTACGTAAAGGAAAAAAATGAAAGCTGAAGGCCGAAGATTGATTTATTTGTGCATCCCCGATTGGGAACGCGTTCCAAAATTTTCTCGAGACACTGTTGAGAGGTCTCGGGGTTAATGCTAACCTCAAACTTGGGTAATTAAACCGAAGAAGGAGCCCTTGGTCGCGCTATGTGTGAAGGCCGTGTGCCAGATGCCGCTTTTTCTTACGAGAGACACGAAGGGTACACACAGCGTGTCGTCTGCGTCTCTACCAGCAAGAGATCTCTGACTCTGACTATTTCTTTCACTTTTACCCCAACAAATACGTGTAGATTGAAAGGTTTAAGGCAAAACAAAAGCTAAAAGCTCTAATCTTCAACTCTAAAATCCTTTCAGGCCCGATTGACAATTTGGCTGCTCGATGGGCTTTGGCCAGTATCATCAAGATCAACATGGTCATTGTGTTGCTTCTATTATTTTGGAAATTCACAATCTTCTGGACGTTGAGGATATATTTTGAGGTATTGAAATGATTTCAAAACGCTCAAAATTATTACTAAACAAATTTTTAGAAAAAGCAAAAAGACGAGGTCGATTTGGGAGCGGACGGTGACCCGAATTTGTTGAAGAGAATTTTGACGCCAATTTGAAATTCGGAAACTAACTGCTCATTGAATGATTTTATTCAATTTGTCCAGGGAATAAATAGATATTTACATGCGTTTATTTCTGGAATTTTGATTCAGAGCATCAAATCGTCCATTTCTTGTTGCATTGAGGCGAGTATTCCTTGAGTGCCGGCCATCTCCATCATTGAACGCTGAAATATTGAATGGTTTTTTGATCTTATTTTGATCTTAAACATATATACGATATTTATTATAATCTAAATGTCGTAGTCGAAAGGATTTTTCAGCGGAAAAGTTTGAATTTTCTCAGCTAGCCAGCTTTCTCAGCATTTTCTCAGCTTTTCAAGCCATATCGTCTAGCCAAAGAGATTTAAAACTTTTTCAGCTAACCGATCTGCTTTCAAATTTAACAAGAACATTTCTTTCTGCCATTGGAAGAAAATAATTTTCTTTTGAAAGAAAATACTTTTTTTAGGTCCATTTTGAAGAATCTAATACACTGAATGACAAGATTTTCTTCATTTGCCCCCTTTTTGCGCCCCTTGCGCTCTTTCTCACCTATTTCTATTAGGGGAAATGGCCACGAATGGCATTAATGAGAGATTGTTTTGAAAAAGGTAACTCTGTAGAATGGCGCAACTTTCAACAAGTTTTATTCACAGTTTAACTTCAAAAATATCAAGCCGGGGAAAGTCAAGTTTCAAAGTCAACGTTAAGCAAAGTCCTACTGCCTGTAACAGTATGTTCTAATGCGTTCTAATGTTCGAATGAATCTAATGCATTGAATGACAAGATTTTCTTCATTTCCCCCCTTGCGCTCTTATAAAAAATATAAAAAATATAAAGGAAAAAAACTGAAAGCTGAAGGCCGAAGATTGATTTATTTGCGCATCCCCGATCGGGGACGCATTCCAAAATTTTCTCGAGACACTGTTGAGAGGTCTCGGGGTTAATGCTAACCTCAAACTTGGGTAATTAAACCGAAGAGGTTTAATTCTAAAACCGTTCTATGAAGAATTTTTCGTTATTTTGCGTCAATTTTCTATCTCTCGCAAAAATCTACCGTATCCGGGGCTCCATTTCCATACGAATACGTATGTGAGACACTGCTGTATCCGGGTCCGGTAGCGGTCGAGTGTTGATGGAGTCCGCCTAGAATTTGAGAGAAATTTGAGAAATTTTTTTCATGCCAGATTTAGTGCAGCAAATAAGCTAAATAAATAAAGCTAAATAGCGCTAAATAAATCTAAATAGCGCTAAATAAAGCATTTTCTTGGTTTGTGTAAATCGGGGATAAACCGGGAAAGGGGGTTTTTATTTGAACAACCTTTTGAATAGAGTGAAGGGATTCGATTTGATAGATGGTAATCATTGCAATATATTTAAAGAGTTAATCAAAAAAAGACGTTATCTAGATTTAAAGCTTATGATTGTACTGTATAATTGTTTTAATGCACTTTCTAAAGGGTAAATGATTTGAAAGTTATCGCAATCCTTAGGCTTTTGTTCGGTTCATTTACATTTAGTCCTCATTTGATAAAGAATCAAGACTTTGTGCAGAAAAGTAGCTCTTTTCTGTGAAATCTTATTTGATGCTTTGATTTTAAATATCTCTGATTCTCTTGTCCTTCCTCTAAAGATTGCTTGTGCGATAAAAGGGGACGGAGCCCACTTGGTCTTGCTTTTCGTTTGGCTTTGAAACACTAAACCAACTATTTGATTCTATTTTATTGTATTTTAGTATTGTATTGATTAGTATTGTGCTAGATTCGGAATAAATATCTAATAATATCTAATAATCATTGCCCCAGCGGTACCCTCTCATGCACTGCACATTGCGCAGTCCGGGAACGCACTGCACAGACTTAAATGAAATCAAAAGTACATTAAATGGACAAAATCTAAAGGAAAGATTACGATCACTTCCCAAATTATCAATTTAGAATTTAGAGTTTCACCATTTAGAAAGAAAACGCATCCAAACAATCAAAATTACTCTTCATTAACAGTACAATTCTTTGATTCTAAACTTTGCTAAGATTTTACCAAGCTTATTCAAGAGTTAGTCTTGTAAATGAGTAGCAGAATTGTTGTAATAAATATGTGAAGCTAACCAGTGTATGGATCTGAATAAATCACAGTTCTCGGCTGAGTGTAGAGACCGGTGTTAGTTGATGGATATTGAGCAACTGGTTGAGACAAATAAACGGTGGTCGGCTCTGAAAAAAGGGATTCCGATATTAAATTGAATATCTTCTATTAGTAGTCATAAATGTTAGAAAGATTGTTAGAAAAGCAGAAAAATGAGTGTCGGAATCCTCTCTTTCGCCAACGTAAGCACCACTTCTATGTTATGGTGTACTTTGTGCTCAAAAATGGAAACCCACCGGCTCTAGCGCGTTCAATTCTTCATTCTCAAGTCAAGTAAAGATTTAAGTGCACTAGAAATGATGGGTTTCAAGCGTTGAGCACAAAGTACATGGTCTGTACTCTACACTACAGCTACACTAGCTATCGGGTTTCCTCTAATCGGATTGATATATGAAGCAAGTTTGTGAGGCCTGTAAGCTAGGTCAGATAATATTAGATAAAATCTCACCTAAGAACAAAAACAAAGTCAAAGGTGTCCTTTTTGAATCAAATCTAGCTTCTGATAGTGTTTTGAACGGTTATTGACCACTTGATACCCGGCCCGCCCCTTTTCCCATTAGCAATCTAAACTTTGAGCTCTAATCTCTTGGTGCTCTCTGTGGCCGATATCTCAGAGGCTAGGTTCATGCTTGGTTACATAGAGTAGGCACTGTATCGCACTGAAATCTTTTATCAATCTACTAGGCAGATCATAGGCCAGAAACAGCTTCTGACTCGAAAAAGTTGTCTTGGGAATAATCTCGGGTACAGTACAGTATTACTTTTTGTAATACAGTAATCTGTTGACTTGAGTCATCAAATACTATATCTAGAGTTTAAATAGGGCAAAGATTACTAGGTTTATCAGAGCAATACCTGAGATTATTCCCAAGACAGCTTTTTCTAGTCAGAAGGCCAAATCAGAAGCTGTTTCTGGCCTATGATCTGCCTAGTAGATTGAAATAAGATTTCAGTGCAATACAGTGCCTACTCTATGTAACCAAACATGAAATTAGCCTCTGATCGGCTCTAATATTCTCTGATCTAGCTTACAGGCCTTGTGTTCTTGGTATTGCCCTAATCACATAATAATTTGGTACAAACAATACACAAACACAACCCCTAAGCCTTAAATGAAAAAAAAAGTAGGAAAAAGAACAATCTAGCCGGCGGGATCGAACCCTCGACTAAGATACACGGCTCTTAGCCAGTCGGCCATGCCAGCCATACCGACCAGTAAGAGGAAAACCGATTCTATCATTACTTTTCCCCTTGTTGAAGGGTTTGAAGTATCTCGTGGTTTGTGATGAATGAGAGAAAGATCCCGATCGATAGATTGGACCGAATCGAGTCGTTTTCGATCGAGACAACACTCGAATTTTTGGCGTTTTCGTGGTGCGATGACCTTGAAAATATTGTTAGTCTCGGTTATGAAATTTGAGTGCAAAAAGTTCTCGAAACAGTGTGTGAGTAAGAATTTACAGAAAGTTTTAAAGAAAAACGTACGGCCTGGGTAATTTCCAGAGGCTGAGCTGGTCGTTTGGCTAAAAAATTGGTTTTATTCGATTCACTGGATCATATGGATTGGATTTTGAGCCAGATCTAGATCTAATCTAGGATCTCCTATATAAGAAAACAGTTTCCGTCTGTATGGGCTTTTTCTGGCTTTTTCCCAGCCGGCTTTAGGTCAAAAAAGTTGAATTTTTAAAAACTAATGTAGTTGTTGTGAATCTAATTAAGAAATTCAAAATTGAGTGGGACTATGGGGAGTCGGACCCGGATCATGTGGGGTGTAGTCAAGCGCGCGCTTGACTGTAGTGCGCTCGACTGCGCCACGGGGATCGCGAGCTAGGGACCAAAATATCCAACTAGAAATAAAGATCGCTGGTTTTGAAGCTATTCAGCCAGAAATAAATAAAACGATTCATTTAACAAGCTTGAGAACTTACTGATAGATGGTCGATCTCTTAGATCTAGGTCTGGCTTGGAGTTGTTGTGGCTGTGGTTGGGGCTGAGCTTGGTGCAGAGGTTGAGTCTGTTGTGGAACTGGGCCTTGAGCTGGTTGTTGGCTTGGTTGAGCCGTTCCCTCAAACTCCTCGGCAACTCTCGACGAACAGGGAACAGATCGGCAAAGGCACGGCGGAGTTGGCATCGAGCCCATTTCCATCATTGGAATTGGCTCTAAAATCGTTTGATACAAGACAATCCGCGATTTTACAGTAAACATTAGAATTTTAGTACTCACCCATCTGGAAGAACGGCGTCGATCCAAAGGGGAAATCGATTTCTCCCGAGAAAATCTTTGAGTACATATGATGTTGAAAATCGAACATTGAGCGCATCGATTTCTTCATTTTCTCCATAAAGGACTAAATTGTTGAGATCAATAAAAGGTTTTTGGATTAATTGAACCATCGTTGACGAGTATTGCCATTGTTGAAGTTGTTGGAAATAAGCGGACAATTCGGCTTGTTCAATGGCAGTCATTTGTCTCTTTGAGTCACCATCATAAATAATTCCATTCTGGAAGAAAATGAGAGATTGTTTAAATGGTTAAATGGTCTTTAAATGGCCTTTAAATGGTCTTTAAATGGCCTTTAAATAGTCTTTAAATAGTCTATAGTATTTTCAGAAGTCATAGCTAGACTACGGTAAGCGATAGATCTTTTAGAATATCACTAATCACAAAGAATTGAATCTAATTTTGCTCTAATAAGGTTAAAATCAAAAAATTGAAGATCTAAAAAGGCTTTTCAACAACAGTTTTTCTTATATTTATCCAAAATAAAAGTGGCAAAGCGTTTTAGTAATAGTCAGATAGTGAAATTTGTGTATTTTTAATAATTTTCGCATCAAAGTCTTTGAAAATTGGAAACTGATAGGGCAAAAGTTTTGAATTTATTGAAATTTATTGAAAATCTACATATTCTTATTGATTATAGCTTTTCTTTTATCCATAATCATTGCTAATTTCTCACCTCAACTCTGCACTCTCCATTCATCATTCCCATTGAAGTTGATGATTGAGATGTGGAGAAAAATGTATTCCGTCCGCCATTGTTCAAAAATCTTGCCTCACTCACCGACATCAAAACGATAAAACACAAAGTCTTCACAAGCATCTGAAAGTCAGAAATTTGAAATTGTTTTTGCGTTAAAATCAGGCGTTAAAATCAAGCTGAAAATCGTTGGACATTCAGGTAAAATCGTTGAACAAATCAAGCGGAAAAGCAAAGCTTGGTGAAAACAATGGTACAGTAATGGTAGAGTAATGGTACTGCAACGGTATTGTAGCAGATGATAGTGCAATTATTTCCAACTAATTAAAAGGTCTTTACCGGCTAAACTTTTGAACGTACAGTACTTTTACTTATTCAGTTTGTGTTTCGTTTCAAATCAAAGGGAATCAAAAGTTTTGCTAGCACCGCCCCAAAAATAGGCGAACACTTAGGACATTCCACAAACAAGACTCACAGTACTTTTACTTATTCAGCTTCAAAAACTCTTTGAACTAAAATCAGCTTCAAAAATCACGTGCCTATTGAAAAAAAATGACGTTTCTTTCCCAGAAAATGTCATATTTTCAAAAGATCTATTCACAAATTTGCCAAATCCGAGGTGGAGAAACATTTTTTTTTGAAAACTTTCGCCGAAAATCACAACGAAAGAAAAAAAGAGAGAGCATTGAAAAAGAGCGAAAAAATCGAGAGATTTCGAAGAAAATGACTCATAGATTGGGGAAATCGAAAAAATTTTGGGAAATTTTTGAGTTTAAGAGGAAGTTGTTGTTGAATTTGGTGTTGGGAAGCGAATTTTTATAGGGAATCAAAAGTTTTGTTAGCACCGCCCCAAAAATAGGCGAACACTTAGGAGATTCCACGAATAACAAGTGGCAACGAAATTAAAATTTGTGCATTTTTTTTTGGAAATATAGCTTGAGTCATCGTTTTGATTTTTTTGAAGAAATGATGTCATTTTGATTGGGATCAAGATCGGAGAAGAAGCTTTTGTCGAGAAAGATCTTTGATGAGACACAGTGCGAGTTGGCTAAGGAACACTGGAACGAGAAACCTTGACTACTTGCTTATTGTTAGAGTAAGGTTTTGTATAATATTGATTCTGTCCAGAGTTAAACCTTGGTATGGCAGACTTCAGCCTTTCTGGATTTAATGAACACCTGGCTCACCTAAAAAGCTCCGATCCCAGGCTAGACATCGGCTAAAACTTTATTTTTACTATCGAGGTTGTCGAGGAAGATCTTTGATGGGACTCAGTGCTGGCTTAGGAACACGGGAACAAGAAACCTTGACTACTTGCTTATTGTTTGGGTAAGTTTTTGTATAATATTGATTCTGTCCAGAATTAAACCTTGATATGGCTTCACTTCAGCCTTTGTGGGTTTAATTAAACCCACATTTAAACCTGGCTCACCTAAAAAGCTCCGATCCCAGGCTAGACATGGGCTAAAACTTTATTTTTACTATCTAGATTAAATCCAATTTTTTCTTTGTTAAAGCGGTGCTATAAAAGTTATTTACTAAAGAGGCTTATTTACTAAAGAGTTTTCTACTAACTAGATTTCACTCTATGTATTATTAAGTACCCTAAAGTCTCGAGTATAAGTTCATCCGAGTATAAGTTCTGCCTTAATTTACATTCGCTTTAATTGCTTTGAATTTCTTTTTGTTGGATTTTTATACATTTTTATTGTTATATAAACTTTTATTATTGTTCTTGGAGCGCGGGATACTACAGGGTGACAGCCTATCACCATTGCTATTTTGTTATGTGCATGGATACATCCAGACGATAGTGTTGAAGAAGACGCTGGAAAGCATCTCTTTCGACCGTCGACGTGGACTTTGGCCGGATGAAGAGGCCAGGGAGGGATCCATAAGACTGAGCACCGGAGAGGAGCAGGGTGGACGCGCCGAGCCACGCCCGGAGCAACAAATAACAGCATAAAATTGCTATAACCCTCAATAAATTTACTTCTATTATTGTTCTTAAAAAGCAAAAAAGTTATGCTGCAGCGGGGTTCGAACCCTCGACACACCGCACCGGAGACAGCCGTCAATTTGCATGCGAAAACCAAACAGAACTTATACTCGCGACTTTAGGGTAGTTTGTCTGGAGTTTTAAAAACCTAATTACTAAAGAGTTTTCTACTAACGACGTTTGAATGTATTATAATGATACTTTATTCAGATGATAAAGTGAAATCCAATAAATCATAGAGAAATGCACAGCGAGTCATAAATGTAGAGTTAAAAGAAAGGTATGAAGATACAAGATAGAGTGAAAATGCAAATAATCTGATTACCTACGAGAGAGAGCCGTTAGATCTAGAGCCTCTATTTGTTTCTTGAAAATGGAAAGTCACTGAATTTCTCATATGTATTGGGTTGGTGAATTGAAAACTGCGGGACTTTAGACTAAATTTTATTTAACACAAAACCATAAATTCATTCCAAATGATTTCCATTATTATTGACGACTTCTGCCCATTTTACAGGCAATTTGCGGATTCCTCTTTCGTAGTAGGATTTTCGTTTGTGTGTGAGACAAGTGTGAGACTTGAAAATGGAGGACTGGAGATGTCAGCTGTGAGCCCAGTTTGAGCACTTTCTTCAAAAGAAACCCATTTTTGTGTCAATAGAAAAGTTGTAGAGAATCAAAAATTAGGCTTATAGCCAAATTTCCAAAAGATATACTCAGTAGTTTCGCTTAAAATGCAAGCTTTGTGAAAATTCATAAATTTGGCATTTCTTGAAGGTCAGTTTTTGAATCGTTCTGAAAATTAGGATATAAGCTTGATTTTTGATTCTCTACAACTTTTCCATTGACACCAAAATGGGTTTCTTTTGAAGAAAGTGCTCAAACTGTCACATATGACAATAGCCCGCAATTTTCAATTCACCAACCCAATAATTTGGAAGCAATTTCCATAAACTAGCGGCTTTAACGGGAAATGAGTTTGATAAAGAAGCGCTAAACGCAAAGGGAATTTGCAAAAGGAATGAACTACTTCTGAACTCTGATCTATGCTCTCGTATGTAACTTGGGAGCAAGTTCCATAACCTAGAGGCTCTAACGGGAAATTCACTATGCAACTTCAGTCAATCTTTAACGACTCTGCGGTGATCTTTTGAAATCCTCTCTGAACAAGTACGATTTCTATAAATCCCCAGAACATCTTTGATTTCAAAAGCACACTTCACTATGTTTTTAATTCTCTAAAAGTCATCCTTGAATTTTCGATTTCCGATTTTTGAATGAAATCTGCGATCATTAAAAAATCTCTAGAGACTTTAGAAAAATTTCCTCAAAAAAAGAAACCTCTAATTACCCTAAAATGTTCAATTTTCGATGGTAAAACGAGTAAGTTTGATTTTTTTTTCCTTTTGAAAATATGAATTCCGAGTTTCAAACTCGATTTGTGTATTTGAGTTGTTTTGAAGGAGCCGTATTGGAGCCGTATTGGAACCGTATCGGAATTGTATTGGAACCGTATGGGAACCGTATTGGAACCGTATGGGAACCGTATTGGATCTAAAAAGAACCGTATTGGAACCTTATCGGAACCGTATTGGAACCGTATTGGATCTAAACTCAAATACACCACTAACAGCTTTTTACTTTATTTTATTCTAACAGATAAATCGGTAAGTGAGAATATTAGGTATCGTAAAAGATTGGTAATTTTTTGGACCTTTTAGAAGAATCACAATGGATATAGACAAATTTTGGGCATTATCACACTTTATAATCTCTACTATGGGCTTGTGCATGCTGTCACGGATATGGTGAACATTTTAATGAGACTTTTCTGAGAAAAAAGCTTGTAAGTGGTGGATAACCGTCAACGATCGATATCCTAATGAGGCAATTCTTAATTAGAAATGAAAAACAAGTCTACACAAAAAAAACTAAGTTAACATTCAGGGATTTCTTCTCGAAAAAGACGGTTTCGTTATGTTCAGCAAACGGATGCAATCATATGGTTTTTGGGCCTCCTATTTGGCAACAATGGTTAACTTTTAACTGGCTTAGGCCAGGCTTAGGCCAGGCTTAGGCCAGGCTTAGGCCAGGCTTAGGCCAGGCTAAAGCTCAGACTTTAAGCTGAATGAATGAATAAATGTAGCATGAATGCAAGCTTTTTTCTCATTAAAGGATTCTAAACTGTGAAATCTTTTCTAGGTGTACGTTGATTCATTCGTTATGTCTATTTCTCTTCTCGCCATTCACGGTCTCTATCGATTTGTGAAAATCACAAGGTATTCCAAGAAAGATTTTTAAAACTGAAATCCTTCAGCAAATGGACATATCTATTTGATCGTTGGTCTTATCTATCCGCGATCGTCGTTGCTCATTTTTTGTCTGGAGTTCTCTGGCTTCTCTTTTGCCAATTGTCAATGAATGTAAGCTGATTGTTTTATCAAGTAAAACATCTCATAAAGTATTAAAGCTACATTTATATATAATCTAAACTAATTTTTTAGCCATCACCGGAAAGAAATCGTGTGAGTCGCGAGAATCTGCTGAGAAAGTACAATGTGAGCATCGAGAATCTCGGATATTTTGGGTCACTTTATATGGTAAACAAATATTAAACAAGAGAAAAGTGGAAAGCATTCGACAAAACTGATACCAAAATCTGTAGATAAAGAATGCCAATGGAAACACGAAAATACTGTGGAAAAATCTCGTCGGGAGTATTGGATGTCTCGGCCTGCTCGGTGTTTTTTATACAGCCATTTGTCTATTCGGATTAAAGCTGTAAGTTTTTAAAAAAATTTGAATAAAAGCATAAAGAGTATCTCATTTCTCAGTTACCTCATTTCTAGCTTATTTTTTGTGCACTTCCTTCTCTTTCTTCCTTTCTCTTCCTGGTCTTTCCTATTTCTTCTGGGGCAAAGAAGGCGCCGATAACTCAGTGGTAGAGCATTGACCCGGTCAACAGGAGGTCGAGGGTTCCAAATTCTTTGCCATTCATTTCTTTATTTTATGACTCGTCCAGGGATATCCTAATCGGATTGGGATTTGGATTTGGATTCGGATTTGGATTCGGATTTGGATTTGGATTTGGATTCGGATCCGAGGATATCCTAACCCAGGTGATGCCAAACAAAGCTAAAGCCAAGATTGGATTCTAAAGAGTTTCAATCCTTTTATGACTTGCAGTAAAGCCAGGTCACTCTTACGGACTTGCCTAGTCTGACTTCTCAAGGGAAATGGTTCTAGAACAACCCCATACAATTATTGCTTTGATTCTGAAAGAATTCTGCTCTAGAATGATGTGTTTACATGCTAGCCTTTATCTTCAATTCAATCCGTATTCAGCTTCCTTTTCATTCGCTCATCACTCGTCAGCGAGCGAACGAAACGAATGAATTATCAATTGATGGAATTGTTTCTCATTCAGGTAGATGTTTACAATTGGCTTATTTATTGTGAAAGATTGAAGTTTTTAATGTTCTATAAATTGTTATTGAAGTGTTGTTTCAGGCGCTTGTGCCTCTCTTCTTTGAATATGTTCCTTGTTTCACCAATGTTGCAGCTGGGCCGCTAGGTTTGCTGGAAACTTTCAATGTTTAAACATTGATCATTCAAATCACCAAATAAATCTTATTTTAGACTTTCCATATTACGAAGATATTGGCTATTATCAACCGATTTTTGTCTCATTGTATCCATTTATCGATTCAACGATGGTTTTCGTTGGGTTCAGGGTTAGTTCAAAGTCAGACTAATTCCATATTTCGAGTACTCAAATGTTTTGTCCTGAAATTCAGCTTGATTTCAGGATTACCGTAATCGTATCCTTTCCTCAAAGCCCATTCAATCTCTTCGAAATCTCAAACGTTCACGAATTTTCACTTCAAAATCCGGCTCACAATTCCAAAATTAATTTCAATTTGTTGAAAATGCTACATTTGTCCCAAAAAAAGAACAGAAATTCTTGGATTTTCAATGAAATCGATTTTGGTCTTACGAATTAGCAAAATTGGATTTATTATGAAGTTGTAAACGAATCTCGAAGCTTTTATTCACAAAAAGTTGTACAAAAGGCAAAAAAAGAATGAGATTTCCCGGAAAGTAAGCATTTTCTGAATAAAAGTCAGATCAAAAATCATTAAAAACCATATTAAAGTATTTTACAGTCGTAATTTTTCGTTATGAGAGCCCATTTCTCATTTCTTCCTCATTTCTTCCTCATTTCTTCCTCATTATGTGTCCCATATTACCATACATGTATTTACATTTAAAAGTAGCACAAAGAACACTTTCTTTCAAGTTAGTTGACCGAGTTTATGATGCGAAAAGAATGTTGGCGAGACGATTGTATCTTGTCTAGAGTGCTTTCCTCTCAAGAAATAGTGTGAAATAGGAAACGGGTTACGGTAGAAATCAACTGAATATCTTGAATATCTTCTACGATTTGCAAGAGCTTCAGTTTATTTTAAACGCACTCGTTTCCTATTTTGTACGATTTTTTTTGAGAGGAAAGACACTCGACTCTTGTCTCTTATTTCAAGTGCTTATCCGTCTCAAGCCAAATTCAGAATCAAAGCAAGAATTGTATGAGGTTGTTCTAATAGGTTGATGCAAAAGTCTTTTGGTTTTTTTCGTACTTCTGTTAAAAAGTAACAAATTCACCAATTAATCTATAGTTTGCTCTATAAAAAAAGTGTTTTTTTGTTCAATTTGCATCTTTTTAAATGAATTTCGGTTGACTTTCAAGCAAATTCGAGAGTGAAAAACGCCTTTTTCGTAAAAATCTATAAAAAACTCTACGGAAAAATTGGCTGAATGAATTTCTCTGAAATTTTGGCGAAATATCAAACGTTTTTTTTCTCTATCTTTTATCTATTGACACGAAGATAGGTTTTCTTTAGCTAAGGTGTCTAAACCGCTCAGGCTCAGGCTCAGGCTTAGGCTGAGGCTTAGCCTGAGCCTGAGCCTGAGCCTGAGCCTAAACCGCATCATCGAGTTAGCCCTTTTTGACTACCCGACTTCATACTCTCAAGAAAATCCAGGCATTCAATATTTTTAAACCCGTTTTAATGTTATTTTGCAGAAAAATAATTGCTTTTTCTAATGAAATCAACCGTAGTTTAATTCGTGCATTTGTTGGCTTGAAACGGCAGACGAAAAGGAACAAAAACAGTTATGCATCAACCTAATAGAACCATTTCCCGTTAGAAGTCAGACGTCTCAAGTTTTCAAGCCATTCAAGTTTCAAATGTTTTGTGATTTACATATAAAGTTTTCTTTTCAATTCAAAAAAAAATTGGCCTTCATAAAACGGAAATGAGCAATGAAATGAGCAATGAATTTATGTAAATGTGCATGTATGGATTTGGGCCCTTATGACAAAGCAAAAAGGGTACTTTTCCGTTATGAGAAACCATTTCTGCATGGATTTGGGCCCTTATAACAAAGCACAAAGGTTCTAATAACGGAAAAGTACTTTAAGAATTATAAAACTAAAAAACTATAGAAACTAAAACTTAAAAACTATATAATTCTATGATTTTTCACAAACACTCTCGACAATCACTCAATTAAGCACGAAAATCGTTGACACTGAAAGAAAAATTGCTATTGAAAGAATCGGTTTTTACTAACCTGTAACTTTACTACTAGCCCTTGTATATCGACTTTTCAAGTATCGACGATATTCTGGATTCAAATAGAAAACAACTAACATACTGAGTGGACTTTGACAAACAGAGAATAGACAAGCGAGATCGTTGAGAACTGAAATCAAAATGAATCTAGATGTCTAAAATTTTGGAAGAAAAAGCTCAAGTACTTTGACTTTGTAACATTTAAAAATTCAACTCTGACATTTCTTCATTCAGCCGAATGAAGAACGGCTGAGACGTACTTTGTACTCAAAAAATGAAAACTCAATCCTTCTAGCACACTCAATTATGTGATAGACTGAGTTGAATGTGCGCAAGGGTGGGGGAAAAATATCGGTGTTTTCAGTTGCAAGCAGATGATTGCGAATTCGGATTAGACAAACAGATAGCTGTTATTTCAATCCAGTGTTGGTTCATTGGTTAGTTTGTTTCTACTCTCCTTACTAGTCTAATTGTGGGCACACAGTACACCTGTGTTTATAGCATTTTATACAGCACACAGTACATTTTATAGCAAATTTTTCGCTGTTTTTTCGAATATCTAAATTTGGGTGTAATCAGTTCGAATTTTTCATTTAAATCCATTTAAAGTTTATGTGCAAAAAGCAGTTTTTATCGCGAGTATCAAGCGATTTTGAGCGCTTTGAAGATATTTCGTTGTGGCCAAGTGGTAACTGCGCTAGGCTGTGGTTTTGTGGTAACTGCGCTAGGCTGTGGTTTTGTTGGCCGTGATTCGAGCCCGAACTTGGATAAAACTTTTACTTTTTAGGCTAAATTCCACTTCGAAACTTGGTGTTAAATAAACAACGATCGAGTAGTCGAAGAAAGAAAACGATCGAAAGAGTATTTGACGACTCACCCTGTCCATAAACGAACTCGATATTGAGAATCATCGACGAGATCAGCCAGCAAGTCGGCATCAAATAGCAAATGATACATGGAGAGATCTATTTTCGTCTTCAGTTTCAATCTTATTCTCAAGTTCACCTGTAACTGCACACCAATCAAATACTGTTTCACTTGTTGTGCACTCTGAATTGAGACGAGTTTCGAGTAGATTTGAAAGACCATAATTGATGAAGAGAACAGAATCCATACGTTTGAGAAAATTATCATAAAACAGGTGAGCATTAGAAACGAGTGTCCATAGAATTGCGTGGTGTCGATGAGGAAAAGGGATTTTGCTGTATCTGGGGTGTGAAGGCTCGGGAATTGGAGATCTGTCTGCAAATTTACAGAGTAGAAAGTAATCCAGCTATCGTAACCCTTTTCTAATAAATATTTGCTTTTCCTATTTCTATCTAACTCGTTCAATTTTTACGGATTATTTTCGAGTTACTGTAGCTTATAATTGGTTAAGAGTTACGGCAACCATGTGTTAAACCGCCAATCCAAACTCGTGGAATTTTGGGTTCAAAAGCCGTGCTTCTAAAAGCTTAGAAAACGTCACTGGCGAGTTACTGTAACATAGACTTTAATCTTTACGGATTACTGTAACGTATAACTGGATATGGTAACCGAGCCACGTTTTTCCCCCCAATCCAAGGCCGCGTTCGGAAAAAATAAAATCTACTGCTTTTAAAGTTGTTAAAGATTTCAATTATGGTTCCAATTATGGTTCCTTAAATTCAGCAAAAAGTTGTGGTCGAGTGAATGCCGGCGGATAGGGTTTTGTTTTCTGAGAGAGCTTTGCAGGCTTTTGCCTCAATGGGGGATCCCAAACAGGGGGAATCCCATCACATCGAGTTCACTCGAAGAGTCACATTTTTGGGGAAATATTTGAGCAGATAACCCGACGACTCCGGACCACGAAAAGGAGAAAATTGAAAGGAATTCATCTACCCAGAGATATTCGAATGTGATAGAAAGTGAGCGAGGTAGCCAGTCCAGGACCCAACTTCTGGAGGTAGCCAGTCCAGGACCCAACTTCTGGAGGTAGCCAGTCCAGGACCCAACTTCTGGAGGTAGCCAGTCCAGGACCCAACTTCTGGAGGTAGCCAGTCCAGGACCCAACTTCTGGAGGTAGCCAGTCCAGGACCCAACTCCTGGTACAACCCTGCCACTGCAGTAATCTTTAGGATCACTCTTGAGTTACTGTGAATCGAAGTATTTGTGACTAGGATTACTGTAAGATTGATCAATTACCCTAAAAACAGTGCCATTGGCTGATACAATTTTTACCTTCAAAAACTCTCTCGCATTCTCCATTCCATTTTGTTCTTCTCGAATTAAAACCTGATTTCCGATAACCAAAAGCGAAAGTGAAAAATAGAGAATTCCAATAAATATCACAAAATTTTTCGTCTTCATTTTAAACGGCGATCCATAAAGGAGAATGCTGTTCGCGCGGAAAGCGGCCAATTGTCCGCAAGAAGTCAACAATAAAGCATTGATGACAACGAAACAGGACATCGAAAATGGAAATGTTTTTAGAAAAAAAAAGTTCATTTTAAAGACTAACTTGTTGATAGAAAGTGTCTACATTGAAGAGATTTGTGAGTAGTCCGTACACTGATCCCATATAACGTGGTGCATGGATCTTCGGCATACACCAAACGCACATGTAAAACTCGAAAAAGGTACCGATGAACTGAATCAGAATTTTTCACTTCTTCCAACCTTGTTTACTTGTTTCTTTACTTCTTAAGCTTTCAAAATTCTAAATTCACAAGAGTTTTGGTTCAAATTCTTACAAAAATTTCATTTCTAGACCCTGCAAAAAGAAGAATCTAGAAACGCTATGGGGATTCATTTATATGATGTGATATGAACGCTATGGGGATTCATTTACCGTATTCTCTCTAATAATAGTGCACTCTTTAATAGTAGTGCACTCTCTAATAGTATTGCGGTCCAGGAGGGGGTTCAAAAAATAGTAGTGCGCACTACTATTAGAGAGAATACGGTATATGCTGTGATATGAACGATATTGGAATTCATTCATATGCTGTGATATGAACGATATGGGGATTTATCTATATGCTGTGATATGAACGCTATGGGGATTCATTTATATGCTGTGATATGAACGCTATGGGGATTCATTCATATGCTGTGATATGAACGATATGGGGATTTATCTATATGCTGTGATATGAACGCTATGGGGATTCATTTATATGCTGTGATATGAACGCTATGGGGATTCATTCATATGCTGTGATATGAACGATATTGGAATTCATTCATATGCTGTGATTTGTATCGGCTTTTCAAATCGCTCTCTACCTAATGTTTATTTGTATCAGTTCATATG